ATCTACCTGTGTGAATATCTCCGCCCTCCCTCTCTCACACACACACACACACACGCATGCACGCACGCACATATTAGGAAGCTGAAAGAAACAATTTAATTTGTTTGAAAATGAAGTCTTTTTGAAGTGGGTTGAATACATATTTAGCAATATAGAAGTCTCATTACTGAAATTTATGCAGGAATCTTTATTCGACTGGGTGGAAAGTGGAAAGTTTTTAATGAAAAGAACTAAATTTATTGCATTGTGATACAAAGGAAGGCGTAATTAAGTAGAGGCCAGCATTAGTTTGGGAGGAAATTGTACTTCTGTATTTGACTTTTCAAAAAAAGAAATATTAATTAAATGCTAGTATATATTTTAATTTATGACACCACATAAAATCAGGTGAACTATAAGACTAAGCACAGACAGTCAAAACTGATTCAGTTTTCACAGGTTAGTGTAAGTTGTGTAGACTGAACCAATAAGCAAGTGAATATAAATTCACTTTTGATTCCAGAAATGTAGCCACATACCTGGAATGGCCCAGGTGAGAACCTGGGGATGCTGCAGCATGCCTCACTGTTGAACTGGAGCAGATAGCTTGGGCTAGGTTAGCCCGCCCACCCTGTGAGGGAGGGTTGGTGGAGGAAGTGCAAAGCATCCTGGGATGCTGAGGGACCGTGAGTTAACTTGAATCTGGAGGGGATCTGGGCCAGCAGTTCAATAAACTGATTTAAGCTAGATGAGTTAAGTCTGATACTATATCCATCCAGGTTTATCTTAAACTAGTTTTGGCCATTTTTAAAGCAGTTTTTGTGTACTGGACTTCTGTTGTATTACAGATTTGAAAAAATTTCTCATCGCTTATACCAGTTTGTGTGTAACTTTTGTCCCTAGCCTAACTGGGGTGAGGTTTAATTTAGCTACGCATCCCTTCCAGTGCCATGTCATATTTATAGCTTTGATAGAGGAGAGGGAAACATGACTGCCACTGCACTACTATGCAGTGAATCTAGTAAAAATCAATCATTATATTGCAGATTAAGTGTAGGGTTGACTGGAAGCAATCCTTACTTTTCCAGTTCTTAGTAGACTCTTTTAGTTCTGTTTTTCACTCTGTTTTGCAAACTGCCAATAAATATTAATTTTGTTTTATTTAAGAAGAATTGGGAGTTGACTGTTTTACCTGAGGACCTTGCTGATCTCTGTCCACTCTCCAAGCAATGGATCTCCGTCTCTGCACACAGCAGATGGGCAAGGAGATGAATATGACCACCTGCATTTGGATAAAAAAACATGGGAACAGCTGATGTCTTTCCTATTAGTAAAAGAAGACTGAGAGCAAACTGTCGCAGGCAAAGGAGGTTCAAGTAATACAAAGGTATGAGACCTTATCACATAATATTATTAAGCAACAAAGTTTTAAACGTGGCCAGGATAAGAGAAAATTTCTATTACTGTGTTGTGCAGAGCTGAAAGAATGTTAGCATGAAAACCAGTCTATTAAAGCTTTTTCATGTTGATCACAGCATGAATTAAATATGAAAATGATCATACTGGAGCACATCTATAGAACACCTAGTCTTGTATGGTGTCTCTGGCAATGACCAATAAGAGAGGGTGCAAAAATCTGCAAAGAGGACACTTGTAAAATACCCTGACCACAGAGGCCCTTTCTAGCTAACCAGTAACCATTGTGGCCTGGCTTTATACTTTGGTGCATAAAGATTTATATTCCATAATGTAAAACTATCTGATTTTATCTTCTGTAATGTAACAGAATGGTCTGATTATCCATCTAATGGATAAAACATATACATTCTCTAGGCCTTTTATGTCTTTTTTCCATTTGTTTTAAATAATTATCATATTCACACACAATGTAATTCCCCTTGTTAAAATAGCTGCAATGTTGTGACATAAACTGACAGAAACAAGTAAATCCCAAACCAATGTTCTCTCAGCCTCCTGTCTCTCACTAGTCCCAGGAACTGAAAAACAAGAGTCTATGTTTATACTTTTTTAGTACTTGTGAACAGCAGGATTAACAAGCATAGCAAAAGTTGTGTAGGGCTGTGTTCCAGTATTCTTACTCTAGTTTACTACCACCCAACTCTGTGAGTATTTGCAATTAAAATTACTAGGTACTCATGTAGTAAGGTGCAAATGTCTGTGAGCTGGGTGACAGAATGTGTCTCGTAATGTTACCTGCAACTAGATCTTCTACAAATGTATTATTAAAACAATGAGAGAAAAGAATAGAAAGGAAACCATGCCCAGATTTACTTGTGCCGTTTTAATTGATTTAATTATATTTTTAGAAAACTAATATCAGTACCTGCCTGAGACAAAGCAGATTGGTTTGAGTTTGGTGTTTTTTAATGGCTAAACTCTGGAAGAAGATTTTGTAATTGAAACCCATCTTTAATGATAGGGTTGTGCACAATGCCATCATAATACAGCTCCCACTTGGAAAGAAATAGCAATGCATTCCTGTACATCTGGAGATGGATTGCTGCTGTATGACAAGGGGCATCATTTCTACATAGCAAACTTGTCCAGGAATAACATTTTCAAAAGAGGATGCAGTCACAAGCATATTTAAGTGGAAAAAGGAACTAATTTTTGCTGTATAGTAGCTGACATTACAAAGGTTGTGACAGAGGTATAGCTAAAAAGTTTTGCACCTTGGGCAAAACCCTGGGGAAGGGTGTTCAATCTTACCTGCCCTGGGGACTCAAAGATACCTATTGCTGCTGCTGTGTGGCTTTGTCTGCTTCTGGATGCTAGTGCCATGGCATAGGACTGCTACTGCCTGGCTGCTACTGTGTGGCATGAAGCTGCTGCTGCTGGGACTAAGACTCCTTGGGAGGCCACCATAATGTGCCCCTTCTTGGTCAATGCCTGGGGCTGGTACCCTGTTCACCCACTCCAAGTTACACTACTGGGTTGAGAGAGAATCAACTCCTATCATTCTCCAATGGTAAATGGAATGCCAGTATGGTCACATTTCACTTTCATGTTGTGTGCTTATATTAATGGGGAAAAACATCTGATTCACCCCTAAACAGGGTTGGCCCTCAGCTTCTTTAGATTGACTCGGCGCACTCCTGGGAATATGTCAGCTTAGATTTTACTTGTTTTTTGAGTGCAGAAACATAATAATGCCTTTTTTTCTATTACACAGAACCCTGAAAGACCATAATAGGTCAGAATGGTTTTAATACTAACCAAATTTAAATCTCTGTTTTTTCTTGCAAATTTTGTTTGAACACCTAACAGTGCTAACATTGCATGGCACCCCATGACATCCTTGAAAGGATCTCAATGTTTCCCCGGGTACTACAGCACCCTGGTTGAGAATCAGTACTCTAGAGGTTGCAGTGGTTTGTATGAAGTGCACTCTGCAGGGTCTAAAGAGCCAATATACACTTTAGGTAGATGGATTTGTAGCCTGGTATGTCAGAGGTGTTTGTAGTTAGTGAGAAAGGTAAAGGAGAGCTTTCACGTATGAGGAAGGAAAATAACTCTTCTAAGCAGGGGATGCAAGGATGATTGTGTTAACTAAACTAGGGAGGGGAAACCTGGAGAATTCAGCAAGTAGGAGAGGCCTTGTGTCCATGTAACTTGTTTTAATAGTTAGGAGAGTTATAGCAAGTCACAGAATGGGCAAGCCATGAGGAAGATTTCAGTGGGGAAGACATGTCAACAAAGCTGTGTCCTGAAAAGCACCCTGTTCCCTTGGCTTGTGCGTCTAGTTATGATTTTTTTAATTGCCGCATGCAGTGGTCACATGCACTCTAAAAATATCCTGCTTACCTCAGCTTCTTAGCAGATCTTTACCCAAAGGTTAAAATTAATTATAACTTTGAAAGAATAGAAGGAATGAAATCAGGATTTTGGATTGATTTCTAGGTAGGCATTAATTCCATAGAAATGCTGCTGGCAGAACCTCTGATCAAATTCTTACCTGCAGGCATTGTAAAGGAATGACAGTGCTTGTCCTTTTTTCTCTTTATTTTAAATAAGACAGGTTGTAATAAGAAAAATGCTGCCAGAGAAGGATATAATGCTAAAGGTATAGAAAGTTGTCTTCTGTTTGGGCAACCATTACAAAGCTTAGAGCTTCTCACAGTCCCTTAACCTAGATTTTTAGTGGTTTCTTGTATTGTGAGAGGTATTTTGATAATTTCACTTTTTGCTCCAGAATGAATCCAGAAATTCAGGAAGAGGAGGAAGAAGTCTAATACACATTTGGAAATTTTAAGAAAAGTCTTGATTCAGCTCCAGTTTGGGACAAGTGATCAGCATAGACCCATCATGGCTGGCCTTGTAGGGAGTTACAGCTAGATCTAATGAAGGATTCATGGTGGTTGATATGACACAGTATAGCTGCTGTGTAGAAATACCTGAGCTGACTGTGAACAAGCTAGCCCCAGTACTGCCATGTTAGTGTAGTGCTTCTCAGCAGGCTAATTAGCTTAGTTGGAACACAGCTAGCATGGCTACATTGCTTCCAGTACCTGACTTAGCATGGGTATCACTTCATGGCAACACATCATGTCATGTAGACATAATCTTTGGTGTCTGAAACAGGATTTAGGACAAATGGACTGAGGAGCCTGAGTCCAAAACTGTGACCCAAAAAGCCTCAGCTCAGTTACCATTGGATGCCGAAGGCACCTTCACCACTTCTTTCTTTGATGGCTGCATTTTAAAAGGAAACTTTGAGCTCCACTCCATTCTTTCAGAGAATGAGCAACTCCTTTGGGCCATCGCTCTTAACTACTTTCATTCTGACTAGTGCATATGCAGCCCTTCGGGTCACTCAAGCTTCCCTATTCTACGTGGCACTGGCCTTGTGTCTTACACTGGGCTGACATAGCCCCTAGCCCCTCACTTGGTCTTGGTCCCCTTTTCCAGGGGCCAATGGGGTCCTGTGCACCCCCCGCCCCCCGTGGGACTCTGGCATCATGCTGGCTTACCTGACCCGGCCTGTCCCCTCACTGGAACCACCTTAACTATCTGCCCCCTTACTGGGGCCTCCAGGGTCTTCCACCCTATGGGGCTCAAGTGTCCAGAGACGTGCCCGGCCCCTGTGCCTGGCCCTGGAGTAGAGTATCCCACCAGGATGTGGGGGCTGGGGTTTTAAGGCACCCCTTCCTGCCTTTCACTGGGGAGGCAACTGGCCTGGCATTTCTGGGGACCCCCCCCCCCATCAGAGGGAGTCCCACCAGGCCATCCTTCCCCAGCAGGGTGCAGTTTTCTGTCATACCCAGGACCAGTGCAGGCCTACCTGCCTTGGTCTTAGCCCAAGTAGTTTATATTGTTCCTGGTCTGCTGCTGGCTGCCTCTCACTGGCCCAACTCTCCATACCCCTCCTTGGATGGCTCCCATCCAGAGAATGAATTTCAACCTCCTTCATTTTAGCCTGCTGTCTCGCTGAGCCTTTCTTCCCCTAGACAGTGATGTCCCGTCCGTCGTCCCCCCCCACAATTGAGGGGACCTTCAGACTCCTTAGGCTCTGGCCCCACCTCCAGGCTAGCTGGAGTGTCAGATAGCTCATCATGACCCAGGTATGCCCCTCACATTGGGCTTCATTGCCCTTCAGCCTTCTGGCCCTGGCCCTCTTGCATTGACCAGTCGGGGTTCATTGGTCTCAGCCCTGCAGTAGCTGACCTCCTTAGACAATGGGGTCCCCTTTGGGCCCCACCATACAACCATCTCACTCTGGGCTTACTCTGAGCCCCAAAGATCTTGATAACCAGCTCTATTCTCAACTGGGTTACCTGAGCCCCAGGCCTCACCCTTGCCTGTTATAAATCAGGGGTTTGCGTAGCCCCTGTGTAGACCCACAAACAGTAAGTCCCTTCCAAGGCTGGGCCTTGTTGTCTTTAGGCCAAAAGCCTTTTCTCTGGGACTTGGGACCTCACTGGGCCCCCAAGAAGCTCCTACCATTCCCATAGTTCCTCCCTTACCTTCAAGGTGTTGTTTCGGCTGCCTCAGCCCTGACAGGCTGGGTCTAAAATGGCTGCCTCATCAGGGCTGGCCTGCACCTACCAGGTGCCTGCTTTCAGCCTTAAAGTGGCAGACAGTAAAGGTGCTCTGCCACAAGGTTGCCACCATGTATGCCAACCCACTTTTTTTTGGCATGTTTTTTTTTTTTTATATTGGCATCTCTGATGCAAAAATGTATACATGTATGGTGCATGCAGTTTGCAGCGCTGCAAACCACATGTGCACACTCATCTGGAGGTACCCTATGTGTCCTTTATTGAATATAGTCTTTATGCAAAGGGTCTCTATCTCCATCCATCTTTTCCTAGCCTGCATTTTCCTGTTGTTGT